AACTCCATAGGACTCTCATAAGAAAACCTGAGATCTGGCTTCGTGTATCGGAAACCGCAGCATTTAAACAGAGACACTTTGTGGTAGCGTTGGTCGTTAACCACGCGAGCTTTGAAACTGAGCGTATAATTATTAGGAAGATTGACATTCAATATGTAACACTAAGAGGTCAACAATAGTGAATGCGGGAACAATTGATCGGGATGGCATAGCTCAGCCATTCAGACGTGGTCATCGGTGCAACGAAACCCTATTCACATTAAAATATATTATTCTATCCTCAACCTAAATGTGTTCTTCAGAAGTGCTAAATACCGTATTGCTGATGGTCACGATACAACGAGATAATGATGTGACGTCCACGTGATATCTTATGGACTAGGTAATCACGCCATCACAAATCCACAATTTTGGGATCAGGTGACAAAGATGAATGTGCTACTACCGAACCAGACCATTATTCCATAAATTATCCTGGCCCGGATATGGTCCATTTCGCTTTACTGAGGGAAGCAGCTTTAACCTTGGCAACACCGCTTAGTGCTGTTCTCACATTCGCTAAGTCGAGGCAGCTCGATGGTACTCCTCTCAATGCCCCCAAGAATTGTGGAGTCCCTGGTATGCGGCGGTATACGTAACTACTTACTATCCGTGAACTTCTTTTCACCCAGACAATACGGTTTCAGAAAGGGTTACTCTTGTATAGCCAACCTACTGACTGCCGTGGACGGATGGACAACCGTCTTTAATCACAAGGGAAAGGTTGACGTTATATATCTTGACTTCCCATTAGCTTTTGATAGGGTTAATTATATGTCTTATCAGTAAGTTCAAACGATTGGGTATCAAATTACCTTTAGTTGATTGGCTTACTTCGGATTTAATTTCACTTTCTCTCCGGCTATGGAATATCCTAGTGGGATCCCCTAGCCTTCAGTACTAGTTTAGTAAACGACAACACAAGTGGGGAAAATCGGATGTATTTGAACACAAAATTACAGAACCTCTTAGTAAAATTTCAAAACCATACAGTAAATACTTCATTTGCAAAAATATAAATCAATTGTCTCAAACTTGACTGTTCCTCTTGCAAACGTCAATCAATCGTCGCAGACTTTATTAGTCTTTCGATTCCACACCGATCATTTTTTGTTCTCGTTCTATTTTCTTTGATCTTCCAAATCTTCTGCCTCCATGCATTTCACTTTTGACTGATGATACACACCACTTATATCTGTCGACATCAGTAGCACGCACCACACTGGGAAATCTTCCTTCCTTGATTTACATGAACGATATTCCATAGCATGTATTGTCAGATTTATTACTTCTCGCCGATGAGGTGAAACTCTGGAGAGAAGTTTGCAACGAAGAGGATTATCTGGCACTTCAGGAGGATCTGAGTGGACTTTAAAGTCAAGCAGGTGATAACGGACTTACCTTTAATACTTCAAAGTGTAAAGTAGTCCATCTGTGACGTGTTACGGGTTACAAATACAACTTAGGCAACTCCCCTCTAGAGGTATCTCAAGTTGAAAAGATCTGGGAATGTTGGTACCCTATGATCTGAAGTCTTACACTACGACAAAAGTGCCTTCCAAGCAAACGTTACACTAATGATGGTGAAGCACATTTCCGGCCATTCCGACGGAAGAACTTAACGCATAATCTTTAACAGTTTTATTTGACCTCATTTAGAGTACAGAAACAGTATTCCCTCCTTCATTCCAAAAGGATAAGGACACTCTGGGACGTATATAACGGCGAGCAACGAAATCAGTTCGGGGACTCAAGTTTAGGCCTTATGAAGAGCGCGTCCAGTCACCGGATCTTTTATCAATTAACGTACGGACGTCTTAGAGGTAACCTTCTAATGACTTACAGTGTCTCAAACACTTCTATGCATCTACTTAAACACCTACTTAGGCTTATAACCAACACTAACCTTAGGAATAACACCTAGAGACTGGAGACACATCACAACAAAGTGAACTGTAGACACGCCTTCTAATCCTTAAGAGTAGTCAAATGCTTGCATTCGCTGCCGGCTGAGTTGGTCCAAGAGACTTCCCAGAAGTCCTTCAAGAGAAAACTTGACATGTTCTAAAGGACTAAGGACAGTATCTTGCTAAAAACTAATTTCTTCTCTTTTATTGCTAAATATACCTAGGTTATTATCTGGAGGTATCGGTGATCCACTGTTACTGGATATGTAAGCCCGCTAAGTGAGAGCGTCTTCTATTCCAAACAGAACCGTTTGATGCCTTCACTGGAAAGCAGTGTGTCAGGATTAACACAGGTTCATCAACCTACTATCCTTATTACTGAGGTGATTTATTAATGGCTTATAGTATTCTTAACACTTCTGGACATCCTCTTAAACACCTACTTAAGCTTAGTTCGAATAATAACCTAAGGGGTAACACCCAGAAACTGGAAACACAACGTAGCTCTATCCGTCTCGGTTTCACACACATCCTGATTCTAGGGGACTTTAATCTCCCTAGAGTCAACTTCGCGGAACACACGTACACTGGAGGCGACAACTCAACTGAAGCTCGGTTCTTCAACCTCATCGATAACTTGGGCTTATATGAAAATGTGAGGTCGGCAACTCGTTGGAGAAACAGTCAGACACCATCGCGCTTAGACTGTGTATTCACTAACGAAGAATTCCTAGTCGACAACCTCTCAATCCTGGCTCCTCTGGGAAAAAGCGATCATGCCGTCAAAGCCTTCAGTTTTGTCATCAAAACTAAGCTAAGGTATCCCAACAATAATTTGCGATGGAATTTTAAACGGCTGAATGTGCGAGCTCTACATGACCATCTACAACAGGTGGCTTGGGATGTTCACCCTCAAATCGATGTGGATGGTCATTGGGACTTCTTGCTGCACACGCTCTTATGTGCTACAAACCATTCAGTTCCTCAAACGGTTCCCAAAAGCTTCAAGCCACCTACAGTAATCAAGAACCGTACCCTTCGCCTCCTAAGCCGCAAACGGCACTGTTGGGCGGAATACAAACGAACTAATAACGATGGAGCGTATAGGCAATACAAACATATCAGGAACACATGCACGAAGGCTATAAGAGAAGACAGGCTTCAGTACCAAACAAAGCTTATGGACAAATTCGCCTCTAACCCTAGAAGCCTATTCCGTTATGCAGCCTCTCTTCGTCAAGCCAAAACAGGAGTTTCTCAACTGCTAGGTCCTAACGGCCCGACCAACAACGATGGCGACGCCGCTAACCTTCTGGCGGCACATTACTCTCAAACATTTCAACCGGCTGACATCAACTTTATTGACGACAGTTTCATCTGCAATTCCACAGGACTTTCTGAAGTGGACCTAAGCGCTGACTTGGTGTTCCGGAAACTGCAGCACTTAAGACTTGACACTTCTCCTGGCCCGGATATGGTTCATCCTGCCATACTGAGGGAGGCAGCCTCAATCCTGGCAACGCCGCTTAGCGTGATGTTTTCACACTCGCTTAGCCGAGGCAAACTACCGGAAAATTGGAAGTTGGCTCACATCACACCAATTTTCAAAGGTGGTCGACGCAATGAACCTTCAAGTTACCGGCCGGTGGCTCTTCTGTCGTTACCTTCAAAACTCATGGAGTCCCTGATATGCGACGGTTTAAATGACTACCTACTGTCCTTAAATTTCTTCTCACCCCAACAGCATGGTTTCAGGAAGGGTTACTCTTGTATAACCAACCTGCTGACTGCGGTGGACAGATGGACAAGCATCCTCGATCACAAGGGAAAGGTTGATGTCATTTACCTTGATTTCTCAAAAGCTTTTGATAAGGTTAACCACTTGTGTCTTATCAACAAGCTCAAACGACTAGGTATCAAACCACCTCTAATCGACTGGCTTACTTCATACCTAAAAAATCGACACTTTAAGGTTAGGGTTAATTTCACTTTATCTCAGGCTATGGAATGTCCTAGTGGGGTCCCCCAGGGCTCAGTACTAGGACCTCTTCTCTTCTTGATCTACATAAATGATCTTCCTCAACAGGCAACGTCAGACTTATTACTTTTTGCCGACGACGTGAAACTTTGGAGAGAGATACGCAACCAAGACGATATACAGGCACTTCAAGAGGATCTGACTCGACTTCATAGTTGGGCAGACGATAACGGACTTACCTTTAACACTTCTAAGTGTAAAGTAGTCCATCTGCGACATGTCGCAAACTACAGTTACAACTTAGGAAACTCCTCTCTAGTAGTATCTCAAGTCGAAAAAGATTTAGGAGTCCTGGTGCCCCATGACTTAAAGTCTTACGCTAACTGTGACAAAAATGCCTTCCGAGCAAACCTTGCACTGGTAACGTTGAGGCGCATTTTTGGTCAGTTTGACGGAAGAACTTTCCACACAATCTTCAATAGTTTCATCCGTCCCCATTTAGAGTACGGAAACATAATACTCCCCCCTCACTCCAAAATGATAAGGTCACTTTGGAGCGTATCCAACGGCGAGCCACGAAATCAGTTCGAGGACTCAAATCTAAACCTTACGAAGAACGCCTCCGTTCACTAGACCTTTACCCACTAGAATATAGGCGTCTTAGAGGTGATTTATTAATGGCTTATAGTATTCTTAACACTTCTGGACATCCTCTTAAACACCTACTTAAGCTTAGTTCGAACAATAACCTAAGGGGTAACACCCAGAAACTGGAAACACAACATAGCAAGACGGAATGTAGACAAAACTTCTACTCCTTAAGAGTTGTCAAAAGCTGGAACTCGCTGCCGGCCGAGCTAGTCCAAGCGACTTCTCAGGAGTCCTTCAAGAGGCAACTTGACCTATTCTTAAGGACCAAGGACAGCATCGCACTATGATTTACCAATTTCTTTTCCTCTTTTATTGTTAACATACCTAGGTTCCTGCCTGGAGGATTTGGTGATCCCCTGCTACTAGACACGGAAGCCTGTTAAGCGAAAGCTTCTTCTATTCCGTCCACAACCATTTGAACCATTTGAAGACTGAAGACTGATGTTCGGTCTCCTCAAGGTCGTGCGGTCAATATTTCTGAAGGAATGTTCACATGGATGTTGCCTTCGAATTGGCTTGTGAAGCACTCAAATGTAACGAAGTTCCAGTAGGATGTGCTTTTGTTTATAATGGAGAAGTAATTGCATCTGGCCGCAACGAAGTAACTCATTAGTAGGAGTTTTGTGATTTCTAGGTGAATGCAACTAGAGATGCTACTCAACATGCCGAGATGGTTACTATTAGACGACTAGAACAATGGTGTCGAAATAACGAAAAGGAGCTTGACAAGGTTTTGACCGAATGCGACCTTTTTGTTACAGTGGAACCCTGCATTATGTGTACGGCTGCTATACGGTTTTGTCTTCCAGCTCATCTGAGAAGGTAAGTTTATTTCTTACTTTGACTTTCACTAGTATTACATACGGTGCTCGTAATGAACGGTTTGGTGGATGTGGTTCAGTCCTAAGTGTGCACAATTCTCCTAGTCCAGTCGCTCCGCTAAACTGCATATCCGGAGTTGAAGCGGAGGCAGCTGTTAAACTGCTAAAGAAGTTCTATGAACAAGAAAACGAAAATGCTCCCGAAGAACTTCGAAAACGCAAGCGTGTGACGTAGTTGTGTTGAGTAATTGGGCATTTTTATGTTGTCATCGACTTTTTGTTGTAAATAAATGTAAGTAGTCGTTGAAGTTGCTTTCTTTTTATATGATAGTGGAAGTCGCATTGATTGTCATTTGTTCACCCCTCAACATACTCTATATGTGTTAAATTTTATTGTAATAAACACTACATATTTATTTGTCGATCTACCTTGAAGATAGAACCTCTTAAGTAGAAAGTATTTTAAAACTGATCGTCTACTCTTCTTATCATTCCGTTTATGAAGTGTATGTTCACTATATGGTAGAAAGCCATACTCGTATCATGCCTTTGTGTAGTTGCTCCAGGTACCAACGACAAACATTTAGCGCTGCTATGAAGATGGTCGCTTTTCCCGATGATGAATTGCTTCGGGAGCTAGTTTGCATTACACTATCCTACTTCACATTAAATGACTTAAAATGTGTAGGACATTAAGTGGCTTAGTGATGACTTGGAACCTTTGTCTAGTCATAGTTTTGGTAGGGGATGTCTGTAGACTTGTCGCACATTCCCAAGTCTATTCACGTTCAAAAGTTCACCAACAGACATACGCCATTTACTTAAAAGGTCCAAAAATCTTCATTTTAGGGTATGGGACTCATAATATTTCGTAGGCTTCTATGACATGATTTTACGGCCTTACGTTTCCCACTTAACGCCCATCTCATACTTAGCATAACAGAGTGAATTGGTGTATATCTTCCTCATTTCCTTTAGGCATATGAATGGCCCATCAGTGTCATGATTACTGTATTTGACGTATCCTGAGTATGTTGGTCGATTAATTCACTGTTTATCCCTAAAATAAATATTTGAACATACTCTTTTTTAACTTATTGTGTGACAAACAAATCTCAGAAACACTTGGATCTTTACTGTAAATAAAATATTTTTGATCGCGTTCAGTATAGAGCATCCCCATTCATTGTATGTTGTTTACAGTAAAAACAGATTTATCCTATTCCATGAGTTACTTTGTGACAAATTTATTTGGTAAAGTTGATATAATGTAATGAGAAGACGAAAATTACCAGGACTATGTGATATATTAGCGTAATACATTTCGAACAATCTGATCATGCATATACTTGTTAAGAACATTCATATATGAAAATGAGAGGTCAACTAATAAAGGAATTAATATAAAAAACAATGTGGGACTCATCACTCTGGATCACACGTAATTGGCACTGTATTTCACTAAAATTCTAAGGGTATTTTTGCAGTCCATTTGTAGCATTACCATTTTCTTGACAAGCATGCTATACTACTGTAAATGATTTGTGGAATTTTCAGTTTAAATCACGATTTGACCTCATCTAGATCAACATTGAAAGTTCGAAAGGACTGGACGACCGTTTCATCGCAGTATGAGACTCCCTCGCGGTGGGAACCCACGATCCTGGACGCGGGAATCAAACTTGGGGTCTCCGGCCTCGCGCACAAACACCTAATCTTTAGACCACCATGTTGGTATCCAACGGTGTTAATATCTTCAATCTAGTGCTTCTAGGTCTGCGATAGAGGTCTAGCTGGGAACTGTTTGTGATTTAAGCTGAAAATAAGCTTTGTATGGATATCATCAGGGTTCCTCAAATTCATCATTTGACCACCTATTTAGGGATTCACGTATTAATTTAGTTAGCAACTGGCATAGTTCTGATTGATGAGAATGCTGACGAAATTTCAGGTGTTCTGAACTCCCTCGATTACGAAATATTGTTGTTTGGATTGTTTCTCCTTCCTTGAGTCCGAAACCTTATTTCAAGGCTATTCTACGTCAGCGTATATTTAATCATAGGGATCGAAGTGGCTGACCACTTCACTTGTCCTGATGAGTCTGTCCCTGACGAAATCATATCGTGGATACGAAAAGAGAATTTGGTTTTCGTCAATCTGCTGGCTAATATGATAGTGGACTTAAAGCCCACTAGGAGTTATGAGACCAAAAAACTGCACCATGAATTCATTGACTGTTGATCTTATCCATGCAGGAGTAGACTACATGTTTGAGATCAGCATAATAAGTGTGATCAGTGGTTGGAGACCTTGCGTGGGATAGTTTAAAGTTGGTCTCAGTTGAATAAATGCATTTATCTGTCCCTAAATCGTGAGGTCAAATGCTGTTTTACCAAACGAGTGGATCTTGTCACTCCAAACTTTATTCTTTGTGTTTTCTCTAACGAGATAGATACTAAGCAAATTTGAACGGTCCTTTCTGAATTTATTGTCTATAATTTTGTATAATTATCAACTACTCAAACTATTGCACTTTTTTCCTCCTACCTTCAAACTTCCCTGTGATGCATAAGCTGATGTTATGGGTTGTACCCTTCTTTAGCTACTATTACTTCATTACGGACCTACTACTCAGCACTCTTCCATTTGTGGCATGGTTACCCCTGTATTGTGATTCCTTAAATATCAGAGAGGGGATTGTAGTAGTTTTAACCGTCGAATTGAGTCGATCTAAGCTAGACCACCATTGATTATAGGAGTAGGTTGGAAGAAAGCTAGGGGTGGCCAGACCAAAGCATAGCACAAATCCGTGAAGTCACTGACAAGTGGTCTGAGTCATGTCGGTAGGTGTAGATTACCTGGTTGGGGACCGCGAGATGATAACAACCGATGGTTAGAGACCCTGAATGACATGGCTCAAAATCGTTTGCAATGGCGCAGGTGCATACACTCTTTGTGTTCTCTCAAATGCTATTGTTCAGAATTCTTCATGTCCTTTCTTTCTAAATTTATTTCACTGTATTATACTCCTTGAATAACATCTTCAAACCCTAATCTTTCCGATTACTGCTTATACTTTTACTACTATGGGGTTTGAGTCGACAATTGTATATGCGTGCTAATGTAGTGTGGCAACTCGAACTAATGTACGTACGTACGAAGTCCTACGTTGTTATTGACTGACTGACTGAGACCACCATTGATAACCTGGAAGCACTGGATGGTCGTTTCGCCATAATACAGGACTCCTCAGCAGTATGCATCCAAGACCCACACGCGGGACTTGAACCAAAGACTTTCAGTGAAGAGCTGTGACCAATGGAGTCCGATCTTTGTCGAGTATGAGACAGTTATCTATATCAGACTATGGATGGAGAGTTGCACAAGATCATAGATCGATTGAAGTTAGACATTAACACTTAAATTCCGGCTCAGTAGTCTAGAGTTTAAACGTTCGCCTACGAGACCGAAGGTTCTTGGTTCAAACCCCGCATGCGGGTCGTAGATGCATACTGCTGAGGTGTCCTGTACTATGACGAAACGACCATCCATTGCTTTCAGGTTATCAATGGTGGTCTAGCTTAATTCGACTCATGAATTCGACTGTTGGAAGTTCTTGAATATGTTGATTTGTAGTCAGGTGTTTACTCTGTATTATTGTGATTCATAAATTCGAGCTGTATAATCAAGTCTCTTTTCTGAGTTGCTCTCTGTTCTGGTTATCAGGCGAGCGAGTGTGGGAAACTGCGTTCTGCACCAATAGTCATTTAGTGTTGTTCTCGGCTGTTATCTCACTATTATCGTGTCATTGGTTATCCAAAGGTCTATGGTACTAGATCTACAGTCTAAATGAATCAATCAACACTCAGAGTAGATCGATACAACTGTTCTCCTTTCTTATGGTCAAATCACACGGGTTTCTAAAATAACTAACGTGATATCTGTTTATTTTTACCGTTATATCAATGTTGAGTCTTTTTTTCCTACTATCGGCAATATTATAATTCCGGTTAGTTTGTTTATTCATCTATGTTAATGTGATGTAGCGATTCAAACCAATGTACACTTGCCTCATGTCTTATTTCAGTGGTGACTTACTGACTTTAAATAACAAGTGTTTTAATCAGCATTTCCAAAATAGTCACTTGATAATACTCAAGTGAATAGTATTCTTATATTCCTTTCTGTCAGCTCCCCAACCCTTCCTTGCAAGTAACTGTTGGCTGGATTTCATGAAAGGATCTAAAGGACTTGCAGTTTACTATTGTAAGAAGATTGCTTGCTTCTTACTACCTTCGCACTGTAACTCCATGGATTCCAGCCGATGAACTTACGTAATTTGGTTTTTCATACAACGAATTGCCAAGTTTCCGTTTATCTTCTTACTAGACAGTTTGTATAAAATGTAACGGATAAAAAAACCTAGAAGCTATATATTACGTGTTGTACTTGATCAAGTGGCCTAATCGTAGTCGACTCTACATTATCAGTAGTTTTTAATAAATTAGGACACTAGAATCTCAGTAGGAAAAACATTTCATTTTATCTTCCAATACTGCTACCGTCCCTCGTTGGAATCAAACCTCGACTTTCATTCTCAATTGTAAGTTCTTAATCCATTCTATTGGTCGAAATAGTATCTCTCAACTTCGTATTATATATTTAACACAATCTACAAGTTCTTATCAAGTTGAATTCCTCTTTATCGAGCGATTTACGTATCTGTCTCTTGGTAATGTATTGTGGATAGTCTCCTTGGGACCTCACCCTCGTGAGATGATCTAGTGATTCCTGCAAGCGATATATATAATGTAATCGTCAAAATAGGTTCCAGAGTAATATGTAGTGGCTGTGTTTCGTTGACCGATCACCCTCGTAACCGTTACCATATAATCCTCAACGGTGTTTGAAATCAGAAGGCAAAGAGAAGCAGCGACTACAGTTTTATTAGCAGATAACTCAGACCACAAAGCAGTGAGGCGAATGAGTGAGTCAGCGAACTGAGAGTGTACAGTATTAAATGTACATGTATACACATAGGGAAATGAATGGATCATCGAATCAATTAAGCAGCTAATAATAAAGCTAGCAGAATGAATATGTGCGTAGGCGGTAAGCAATGTTCAAGCATACATATTTCATACAAGCACAACAATAATAAAGGTACAATAAGTTGTTATTAGTACGGATGACTTTGTCCGCTAAATAAGTTAACAGAAGGGCTTAACCGAGTTAAATGAGAACAAACTCAATTGCACATGAGTTGCTATAATTAAGAATAGTAACCATATT